TCAATTTCGAATATCACGAGATAATTATTGTATGTATCTGAATTTTTGGTACCACTTTCATCCTTCTTTCGTCTTGTTTTACTTTCCTATTTGTTTTTAAACTAGATAAAATTTTGCATGCAATAAATAAAAAATGGAACGAAAATCTGTATAATTGAGTATTTCTCGTTTTGGATGCCGATTTGTTTCCTACTAAATAATATATCATGACCAATATATAAATGTTTGGGCACATGCCCCATTTATTAATTAAAATTTTGAATTTTCTTCTAAAATTTTAGATAAAATTTTTAATTGCTCTCGGTCTAAAAATATATTTACCCTTATATAAACCTTTTTATGGTTATATATTTTTATTAAATTTTTATATTTTATATGTATATTAATATTATTGCCTACTCTTATAAATTTGTTTGGCTCCGCCCTTAATGAGTCATATAATCGAAAAATGAATTATCATTGTCACGCGAATCCGTTGGATCATTGAAGTTAATCTTGAAGTTTCAGCTCGCTTGTACATATGTAATTTCACATATAGGAATTACTATTTGATGAGAACGTTAGAAATTAAATCAAAGAAACTTCTTAATAAATACCATGAGAGTTAAGAAAATAATTATTATGTGAAGTTTCCGTTATAATTTTTCGTGCTTTATAAAGAGGATCCTATTTCATTTTTACATAAGTCAAACAAGACGGTCTTTGTTGCACCTTAACTTAAGACACAAAAACTAAACCCTAAGGCATACATACGAGTTAAAGATGGCGAAACTCAACAATTCCATGGTTATGTTTTTCGTAGTTGTAGCTTTCGCATATGCATCAATGCATGTGATTGCTGTCGAAGAAGGCGAACCCAAGCAACTATGGGATCAATGTCTTACCAAGATTAACCCGAAGTGTGCATTGGATATAGTTGAGGGTATTTTTGGAAACGGGACGGTCTCTGACTCTTGTTGTCCGGAACTTATCAAAGAGGGGAAGTTGTGTTACGACACTCTCATCAAATACATGACGAGCAGGCCGATTTACATTGCCCGCGAAGCAGAGTATTTGAAAAAGAGTGATGACTTATGGACTCGTTGTGCTGCTATTCCCACGATAGCTTAAGTTTTCCATCATTTATATAATATATATGTGTTATGATTTCGGCTAAGTGAAAAGATATTTCTTATATTTACGCTTATTCAACGTCATATAAATCATCATATATATTTAAATAACACCAACATTCATGAAATTTATTATTTGTGTAGAAATATTGCATATTTTCAAACGGCCTGTTGATAAGTTTGCATATAATTTTTATGGTGATTCCATTTCATGTTAAAGTTTTGAAAGTTGTCTCACTTGCTTTACGGTATCATATTAAAAAATGTAAGAAATATTCTTTTCATATATGTGCAACTTTTGGTATTAAAGCAAATATAAGAATGATACGTATGAAATACTACAAACAGAATCAAATAGTATATAAAAACGTATTATCACATACGAAACAAATTATAATACATTGATAGTTTAATATATTTTATTTTGAGAGCTCAGTAATATTTAAATAAGGAGAAAAACATGTTTATTTATATTTTCATTTTAATACCAAATCACAATAAAAAACGTAAGAGATAAGAATTTTTTCAATATCTCTTAGGCTTTGCTAAGTAAATAATTATAAAATAAAGATTTTTCTTGGTTTTAAAAAATTATTATTTCTATTTTTTCCATTAGAGGAATTCGTCCAAAATTATGTTTAAAAGAGGTTCAAATTTTATCTACCCTTAGGTTAAAAAACATGCTCTTGGACCTAAAGAACATTTTTTTCTAAATAATATTTCAAATCTTTAACTAATTATTAGACGACATGTTTGGTTGAGAAGTTGAAAAATAAAAATAAAGAAACCTCCAATTAATAAATAAATCTGGACTATTAAATAAAAAATAAGTAAAAGAGTATGATAACATCAAGATAAACTGAATTGTTTCTTTTCCAGTTCATTATTGAATTTTGTTTTATATAAATAGTAGTCATATTTCATCGATTCACTAAATAAGTAAAAAACAAAAGATGTAACAGAGATGGAAAAACTCAATTACGGATTGTTATGTTCTATTAACTGCTATAATAAAAATTGAAATACCGGTTTAGCTTAAACTTATTGCAGCTTTTGGTTTATTTTTTTGTAGAAAATCTATATAATTGAGTATTTCTCGTTTTGGATGCTCATCTGTTTCCTACTAAATAATATATCAAGACCAATATATAAATGTTTGGGCACATGCCCCATTTATTAATTAAAATTTTGAATTTTCTTCTAAAATTTTAGATAAAATTTTTAATTGCTCTCGGTCCAAAAATATATTTACCTTTATATAAACCTTTTTATGGTTATATATTTTTATTAAATTTTTATATTTTATATGTATATTAATATTATTGCCTACTGTTATAAATTTGTTTGGCTCCGCCCTTAATGAGTCATATAATCGAAAAATGAATTATCATTGTCACGCGAATCCGTTGGATCATTGAAGTTAAACTTGAAGTTTCAGTAAGTTAATCTTGAAGTTTCAGCTCGCTTGTACATATGTAATTTCACATATAGGAATTACTATTTGATGAGAACGTTAGAAATTAAATCAAAGAAACTTCTTAATAAATACCATGAGAGTTAAGAAAATAATTATTATGTGAAGTTTCCGTTATAATTTTTCGTGCTTTATAAAGATGATCCTATTTCATTTTCACATAAGTCAAACAAGACGGCCTTTGTTGCACCTTAACTTAAGACACAAAAACTAAACCCTAAAGCATACATACGAGTTAAAGATGGCGAAACTCAACAATTCCATGGTTATGTTTTTCGTAGTTGTAGCTTTCGCATATGCATCAATGCATGTGATTGCTGTCGAAGAAGGCGAACCCAAGCAACTATGGGATCAGTGTCTTACCAAGATTAACCCGAAGTGTGCATTGGATATAGTTGAGGGTATTTTTGGAAACGGGACGGTCTCTGACTCTTGTTGTCCGGAACTTATCAAAGAGGGGAAGTTGTGTTATGACACTCTCATCAAATACATGATGAGCAGGCCGATTTACATTGCCCACGAAGCAGAGTATTTGAAAAAGAGTGATGACTTATGGACTCGTTGTGCAGCTATTCCCACGATAGCTTAAGTTTTCCATCATTTATATAATATATATGTGTTATGATTTCGGCTAAGTGAAAAATATTTCTTTTATTTACGCTTATTCAACGTCATATAAATCATCATATATATTTAAATAACACAAACATTCATGAAATTTATTATTTGTGTTGAAATATTGCAAATTTTCAAATGGCATGTTGATAAGTTTGCATATAATTTTTATGGTGATTCCATTTCATGTTAAAGTTTCGGAAACTGCCTCACTTGTTTTACGGTATCATATTATAAAAAATGGAAAAAATATTCTTTTCATATATGTGCAACTTTTGGTATTAAAACAAATATAAGAATAATACGTATGAAATACTACAAACAGAATCAAATAGTATATAAAAAGGTATTATCACATACGAAACAAATTATAATACATTGTTAGTTTAATATATATATTATTTTGAGAGCTCAGTAATATTTAAATAAGGAGAAAAACATGTTTATTTATATTTTCATTTTAATACCAAATCACAATAAAAAACGTATAAGAGATAAGAATTTTTTCAATATCTCTTAGGCTTTGCTAAGTAAATAATTATAAAATAAAGATTTTTCTTGGTTGTAAAAAATTATTATTTCTATTTTTTCCATTAGAGGAATTCGTCCAAAATTATGTTTAAATGAGGTTCAAATTTTATCTACCCTTATGTTAAAAAACATGTTCTTGGACCTAAAGAACATTTTTTTCTAAATTATATTTAAAATCTTTAACTAATTATTAGACGACATGTTTGATTGAGAAGTTGAAAAATAAAAATAAAGAAACCTCTAATTAATAAATAAATCGGGACTATTAAATACAAAATAAGTTTCTTTTTTAAAAAGAGTATGATAACATCAAGATAAACCGAATTGTTTCTTTTCCAGTTCATTATTGAATTTTGTTTTATATAAATAGTAGTCATATTTCATCGGTTCACTAAATAATTAAAAAAAATGATGTAACAGAGATGACAAAACTCAATTACGGATTGTTTTGTTCTATTAACTGCTACAATAAAAATTGAAATACCGGTTTAGCTTAAACTTATTGCAACTTTTGGTTTAATTTTTTGTTTCCGCAAGTTAGTTATGTGCACCTTTATAGGTTGCTCATCAATTTATTCTTTGTAGGATGTTTCATAACTTTTCCTTTTTATTCTTTGATGTGTATAAAAACACTACGTATATCTCTCTTTTTATCGGACTATTTGGTCACAGTTTCTTAGGGATCGAGTATCCGAGTTTTGGATACTCGTGGAATGAGCAAAAGACTCGGGTACTCGGCCGGTGCGAAAAGACTCAGGTACTCGGCCGTTGCGAGTTGAGGAGAGACATACATGGTCTAAAGAACATGCATTGAAGCGTCACCAAGGTAAACCATAATCGCCCTCGCGACATCTCGAACACTCGAAGCTCTACTTTTGTCGCTGTGATTTAAAAAAAAAACTAAAAAACGAGTTTCGAAAGTATCACCAAATGATCACCTCTTCATCCTCTCGTTGTTTCCTCACGCTCACGGCTTCTCGTTGCCTTTATCTCGAGTCTCGTCTCTTCATCCCGCGTGACTTCATGCTCCCTCATTGGCTTGCCCTCTCGCTCCTCATACTTGTTTCGGGTTACTAATGAGTATAGATCATAATCACTCAATAAAATTTGTGGCTCAAAATTCCAGATTTCACATACTGAGACTCAAACTTAACTTGGTCGAATACCTCAATTTCGAATATCACGAGATAATTATTGTATGTATCTCAATTTTTGGTACCACTTCCATCCTTCTTTCTTCTTGTTTTACTTTCCTATTTGTTTTTAAACTAGATAAAATTTTGCATGCAATAAACAAAAAATGGAACAAAAATCTTTATAATTGAGTATTTCTCGTTTTGGATGCCGATTTGTTTCCTACTAAATAATATATCATGACCAATATATAAATGTTTCGGCACATGCCCCATTTATTAATTAAAATTTTGAATTTTCTTCTAAAATTTTAGATAAAATTTTTAATTGCTCTCGGTCTAAAAATATATTTACCCTTATATAAACCTTTTTATGGTTATATATTTTTATTAAATTTTTATATTTTATATGTATATTAATATTATTGCCTACCGTTATAAATTTGTTTGGCTCCGCCCTTAATGAGTCATATAATCGAAAAATGAATTATCATTGTCACGCGAATCCGTTGGATCATTGAAGTTAATCTTGAAGTTTCAGCTCGCTTGTACATAAGTAATTTCACATATAGGAATGACTATTTGATGAGAACGTTAGAAATTAAATCAAAGAAACTTCTTAATAAATACCATGAGAGTTAAGAAAATAATTATTATGTGAAGTTTCCGTTATAATTTTTCATGCTTTATAAAGAGGATCCTATTTCATTTTTACATAAGTCAAACAAGACGGTCTTTGTTGCACCTTAACTTAAGACACAAAAACTAAACCCTAAAGCATACATACGAGTTAAAGATGGCGAAACTAAACAATTCCATGGTTATGTTTTTCGTAGTTGTAGCTTTCGCATATGCATCAATGCATGTGATTGCTGTCGAAGAAGGCGAACCCAAGCAACTATGGGATCAATGTCTTACCAAGATTAACCCGAAGTGTGCATTGGATATAGTTGAGGGTATTTTTGGAAACGGGACGGTCTCTGACTCTTGTTGTCCGGAACTTATCAAAGAGGGGAAGTTGTGTTACGACACTCTCATCAAATACATGACGAGCAGGCCGATTTACATTGCCCGCGAAGCAGAGTATTTGAAAAAGAGTGATGACTTATGGACTCGTTGTGCTGCTATTCCCACGATAGCTTAAGTTTTCCATCATTTATATAATATATATGTGTTATGATTTCGGCTAAGTGAAAAGATATTTCTTATATTTACGCTTATTCAACGTCATATAAATCATCATATATATTTAAATAACACCAACATTCATGAAATTTATT